CTCTGGCTCATGGGGACTCCATCCACAATGGAAGGAAGCGTTATTCAGTTCTGCAACCTGGCTGTGTTCAGTTGTGGATTGGAGCATTGCGATCTATGGGAGTTTCATTCCTTGGTTTTCAGACACCGATTGCCAAGGTTGTCTTTCTCATCTCTCTTAGTCTAGAACATCACTGAAACCTGTTCAGCGTCATAGCAACTTGCAAGCCACTACTGACCAATGGGTGGTGACTGAGCTCTATGTGTGTTGGTCATCATGTGATTAATAATCATTAATCCTATGGATCACATTATCATAATCCTGTGATCACATGGCTGGAGTTCTGGTGGCAGAGGGGTTACACTGTGGGTTGCTAACCATAAGGTCAACAGTTCAAGTCCACTGTCCACTCCACAATAGTGGAGCTTTCTAGTCCCATAAAAATTTAATAGTTTCAGCAACCCACAGATACAGTTTTACTCTGCCCTATAGGGTCACCATGAGTCAGCATTGACTCAAGGGCAGTGACATGAGTTGAGTTGATAATCACATTATCACTATATTTTATATTTTGCAAAGTTCAATATTTTATGATTCACCTGTATTTCTTGTACATTTCCTTCTTGAGATCAAAATCTGGTTAAAAATGTTTCTTTTTGTCACTCAGAACCTAGCTGACCTTTATAATACAACACCAAATCAACTAAATGACCCAAAGGATAATTTTCTCACATCTTTTTTCATGGTTATAATGCTTGAGTTAAATATACATGAATTCCTTTAGAGTTGCTCTACAAGATACACTAAATCAATAAACTTAGTTTTGTATTCAGTATATTCCTTTAAATGAAATACTTGCTACATGATTTTATCTTTATGAATTTATGACTTTCAGTAATTTTTCTTGTGTATATGCTAAGTCACAAAAAATGAAATCCCTGGCAGCTTCAATCTTTTCTCCATTTATCATGGTGGTGTTTATTGGCCCGGATGTGAGGATTTTTGTTTTCCTTGCACCCAATTGTAATTCATGCTGAAGGCTGTATTCTTTGATCTTCATTAGCAAGTGTTTCAAGTCCACTTCTTGTTCATCAAGCAAGACTGTCATCTGCATATTGTAGGTTGTTAATGAGCCTTCCTCCAATCCTGTTGTTGCAATATCCTTCATCTTGTCAGATTATTTATTGTACAGTCATACATACACACAGTTTGCTCAGAATACAGATTGAATAAATATGGTGAAAGGCACAACCCTAAAGTTTATTATCTAGTGTAGCACAAATGGTATTAGACTGATCTAAGTTGATTCCAAGCCTGCTCAGTTGATATACTATAAGCTCCTAGAAAACAGAGACCCAGTCTTGAATCATTGTTATTCCCCAATGATGCCTACCTAATGTTGCTTCTAGAACATAAAGAATGTTTAATAGTATTTTCTTTCCATAGTGAAAATTTATGTCCTTTCAAAATATAAATTATGATAGTCCAATCATAAACTTCTGTAGCCATAAAAACAATTCTCATCTCGCTTATAACCAGGGCACTATAAGGACACTTTTTATTTTTTATCTTTCTTGAAATGAAAAAATAAAGACTGATAAGATGAATGATCCTGTTGAAAGGAGTGTGGATAAACACTTGCTCACAGATGGGAGGAGAGCAAGTTAGAAGAGCCATTTCGGAGGCCAATTTGGCACGATTTAGGAAAATGTAATATGCCCAGACCCTTTCTAGTTAGAATAAAACTGTTGCTTCTTTCTAGGAGTTAATCTTGAAAAGTTTCATTGGTGTTAACATGTCTCCTTTTTTTTTTAAAGTAGGAAGCAGTTTAACTGCCCATTAATACGATTTTTTTCTGACATATATTGATTATTTTTCATCAGCCAGATATGGTTCTAAGTACTTCTACATAGTGACGCAGGTCATCATCATAACTGACCCAGGAGACTTATCCAGTTATCATCCTAATGTTAAATATGAGGCCAAGTAACTTGTGGGAGGGCCCAAACTATGAGGTGTTTGAGCTAGGTCTGAATTCAGACAAGCATTTAGAAAAACACAGTAGACCTAAATAAATGTATTAATAAAAATTACCCAGGGCATATTTTTAAGTAACAAAAGACAATTGTATAACAACAAGTATGTGCTGTTGTGTATGGCTTATAGCACTATAAGTAACTTGAAGCACTAAAAATACAGTGCTAATCAGATGTGTGCAGGAAATGACTGGAATATATCTAGAAATATCTGGCCAAACAAACCAGCAGTCATATCTTCTTTGTAAGCAGAGATTGGAAGAAAACCTTCTTCAGTTTCACCTTTTTTTTAACTTCTGAATTAGACAACATGCTACTATAGTATTGGTATACTGGTGCCGCACATTGCCTAGTTATGATATCAAGTAGAGTCGTTTCTAACTGCCATGCATGTTGCATACTCTAAGAACAAACCAAAGCTGCCTTTTGGACCACAGAGACCAGGTGCTGCCGACTAGGGTTTTTACCATTGTGCGCTTTTGGAAACAGATCATTGCGCGAATCGACAACATGCTGGTTAGCAGTCCAGGGCTAGGATGGTCGTGCCACCTGAGGACTGATTTCGGGATTGAACATATACTTATTTCAGGCCTATGTACCGTTCTCATTTAATTCTTAAAAATGACAGTGCACAGAGAGCTTTTGCCCTCATTTTACAGATGATGAAACTGAGGTTCAAAAAGTCTAAGATACCCGAGGAAGATCATTATGTGACATGTCTCATGATGGCCCAGTTCTCGCTGACCCTCCTAATTTGCTGGAGAAACGCATTGCCCTTGGCACAGCATCAAGCCACCTGTATATATTTAATTCCTAAATTAATAAAGGGAGGGAGAAAAAATGTTATGGACTTTTTTTTAAAGAGAATGATGGTGACAGTGGTGTCATTGTGAAATGAAGACTTTTAGTAGGGGAAGACCCTGTATTTTATACTCAATTCTAATACATGGTAGTCCAGCAGTGGGTTTGACATTTTGCACATAAATCAGCTAATTAATTATCATTTTAATTAAATTGGACAAACTTTCTCCCATAACCTAAAACTATACCAGATAAAATCTTCTTGCTAACTTTGACCATAAAGTTATTTTATCCTAATGTTAGATGATTGAACAACAGATTCTCCCTGATTCCCCTTAACCATTCAGTGTTTTATTTAAAACTTCAAACAGGTTGCTATGGCGTATGTTCATACTACTGCTTTCTATACTCAAACTTACTAAGCTTGTTACATAAACCATCATGAGATGATCGGAAATGCCTGGTACTCCATACTAATCAGTTTTGATTCGGAAAAAACATCTGGACTCTGCTATACAACTGATCCAATTAACACTAAATGTGTAGCGAGCTTTAATTTTCTCATTGATGACAGAAACTTCGTATTTGTCATTTTCCACTCCTTAATTAAAATGAATGTAGCACAAATAAGTCTGCAAAACTCATTCCATATGTATACCTCACAATGAATAATGTGGAAACAGAAAATTACCTAAAACTCAGCAACCCAATCGGAGAGAGTATAACTTTCCCCATAGGGTGTCAAGGTCGATATGTTATGGGAGCTGACTTCACATCATTTGCTCGTGAAGCAGCTGGTAGGTTCGAACCACTGACATGTTAACTAGCAGCCAAACGCTTCTCTACTGCATCACAAGTGGTGGAATACAAACCAAACTCACTGCCATCAAGTCCACTCGGGTTTGGAGAGACCCTTCAGGACAGGGTACAACTGCCCCTATGGGTTTCCAAGCCTGTGACTCTTTACAGGAGCAGAAAATTTTGTCTTTCTCCCGAGGAGTGACTGGTTGTTTTGAACTGCTGAACTTGTGACAAGCATATCATAAAGTTCATAAAGGACTTTTGAATTGACTTGGAGAAACCAGAGGGCAGCTGAGTCAACAGCTCTATAGACTCCTTCTGCTCCCCTTCAGGGAACATCAACAAGGTGAGGTTTCATGCCCTTGCAAAGCCCTGTGAAGACAGGACTGAAAACGTCTCTGAGAGAAAGGAGACGAACAGGGTCTGCATTTCACCTACGATCTTATTGAGAAGAATGTGGTTCTACAATATGAGTGATTGATGCTTCTACTGATTTGAGTATACAGCGCTAAAACTCCAAATGTACATTAAGGTTTCTTTAATTGAACACAGAAGCATCAGCACATCTTTATCATCCAGGATCTGGCCTGTCTGTTTTCTTCACGGCCTCTAAATTCATCCATTTTATTATTTTTTTTAATTTTGTGAGACACCAAATATGTATTTAACACCTAGTGCCTACCTCAGAAGGCTTCTCTGTGGGTAGACTATTCAAAATAATAATAATAATAAGAGGACCAAGAAACCAAAGGTGTGCATGGAAAAATGCTATCGAAATGAGAAAGTTCATTAAGCTGAATAGGAAACCCTGATAGAAGTTGGGTGATCAGGCAAATTCTTCTCTAAGGCAGCAGGATTTAAAATAGACATGGGAACAATGGACAGGAAAATGAGCAGTGGAAGGAAGATACTCTCTATAGAAGGAGCTTCGTGTGTAAACATTTTTGGCAGGAAAAAAGAATAGAGTTATCTCCTTAAAGGGAGAGGAGACTGCTGGGAGGGAAGTGATGGGCGAGGCCCCAGAACGAAGATGGAGAGATATGCAGAGACTTCTGTTTCAACCTCCATGATTGACGGTCCCTCGGCGTTAGCTGTGGATGAAGCTCTGAGTGATATTCTCTCAGCCCTAATGGAAAGTTCACCATGGTTGGGTTATTGGGCGCTGATCCACCCATTCAGACTCAGAAGCAGTCGAGGTTTTCTCGGCTGTAACCTTATGAGGGAAGCTCTTCTGGTTTTCTCTCCTCTAGAGAGGCGGGGTGTGTTCAAGCTGCCAACCTGCTCTTCAGCAGCGTAAGTGGCACACCACGGGGGCGCCTTCCAGAGGCCACCAGCGGAAGGAGGATGTACACTCGCTAGCAAGTTTCCTTAGGTAATAGGCAAGTGTACACTTTGACAACATGCGCACTAAACTTGGAATGACACAGATCATATGAGCATGGCCCCTGCACAAGGATGACACGCAGACTCATGACGTTTTCCACACGTTGTAGAAAGAAGGATGGATGACTAGAAACAGGTAATCCAGGAAGGAAGTGGGGAAGAGGCTGCTGCATCCGGGGACTTGCACTAATAGCAGGACACAAAAGGGCTGTAAATTGTCCAGTGTAAAACTGTGGTCATTGCCTCTGTAAACTCACACCCACATTATAATAAAAGGTTCCCAAAATAATAACCACAGGGAATATATGAGACCATTATACGTATTTCCCAGTTGGCACCGCCCAGGCCCTAAATTTCCCGATCCAGCAATCTGCTTCAAACAATTTACCAAAGACATGTCAAAAAGCACAGCAGCGTGTTTTCCAAAAACAGTTCACAAAAGGCTTCTGGGGTCGTGTTGATTTAAAAGATCACAATCATTCCTCAGGGTGCGCTTCTCTCTGTTAGGCTGTCGGTAAACACCAAACTATATTCTGAAATGAGATCTTCTTGGGTCGCTCCGGCCCCTTGGTGGACACTGACACGTTCACAGCAGAGAGTGACCAGGCGGGGTCTGCAGAAGGGGTCTCTGGAAGCAGCTCTCCCCTGCAGTGTGACTTACCCCCTGCTTAGTCTCTGGGGCCAGAGCGCCACTTCATACCTTCTACTGGCCTGGCTGTTGCGTTTCATCACCCTCCCAAAGGCCACTAATTGAGGATGATGGCCGATAAAAACTAGAGAAGGGATAGATCAATAATCTGACAACAGCAATAAGCATGTCAAAAATCCTCTAGTGTATATTAGTATCATAGATAGAAATGTCCTAGGGAAAAATGATTTCCTTTTGTTTTGCTGAAAGAGGGCACCCTGTCTATTGATCTCGTGGCTTAGTGCTCTCTCCTTTTCTTAATTTCTTCTTATGATCAAATCTCCTGTGTGTTTACAGTTAACTCACTAGCAAATGTCAAAAATCAAAACCAAAAGATAATGTTCTATGCAATGTATCGTATGATGCTAGAAGTTAATGTGCTGTTAGATGGCTGAGATGTGATGGTTCTAATTTTTTTTAATAATTTGTAACTTGTTAGAATGCTAAAGTGAGCTAGTTGGTACTCAAGAGGTTTGCCAAAGGAGTGTACCAGTGAGTCAAGGAGGAGGTGTGACTCCCCCTCACAAATTCAAAATAAGAGTGAATCCATCTTAGTTCACACTATGATACAAAAAACAACCCCAGCTGATGTTAGCTGGAAAAGAGAGTGGATAGAAGAATAAGGGACTCTGTAGGAACACGGGGTGTCATGCTTTGAGTATGGGAGGTCACGTATCTCCCAGCAGCAATTGGCGCGTGGCTACTCCAAAAGGGCAGTGGCGGCCAGGGTCAGTTAGTGGAAAACTTTTCCAAAAGCACATGCCCATTATAGAAGTCTACCACTTTTTGCACCAACCCCTGCCTCTTTGCGGATAACCATCCCGAGAGTGGGTCATGTGACCCCAGTGGAGCCCTGGGTTTGATCAAGAGACTCCCACTTTTTTTTTTCTTATTTTTTTTTCTTTTTTAACATTTTATTAGGGGCTCATACAACTGTTATCCCAATCCATATACTTTCTGCCCACTTTTATTTTTATGGATTTTAAAAATTATTATTAATTGGGAGTTAATACATATATCATATCATTTCATAGTTCAATCACGTCGAGCAGAATTGTACAATTGCTGCCACAATCCGTTTCCAAACATCCTTTGACTTCCTGGACTCCTTGACCTCATCTCCCTTTCACAAGGCCCCCTCCAGACCCCTGCCTATCACCACCGTACCCACTCCACCCTCCGAAACCCTTTCTCTACCTGGTGTCCCTATAGTGTCATCAGTCATGGGCTTCGTATACCAAAACACATAAAAACATACAACACAATGTCATAACACCTCTGAGATACACGCTAGCATGAACAAACAATAACAAAAAAACCCAAAATTACAGAAAAGGCCGAAAACCAGATCAGGTCCAGATGTGTCACTTTTAAATCTATATAATTTCTAGATTTGGAACAGGGAGGCTTGCCCTCCTGTCACTGAGGCACCACCTTTGTTTTCATTGTTTCGTTTTGTTTTCTTTTCATTCTGTTGACTATATTGTGCACCTATGGAGCTGCTACTCAGCTGTTCAAACCTCCTAGGATAAAAATAACACGGTCTACTTCTTTAAAAATTAATGGCACCGAATCCCAAAGGGGTAGTTCTACTCTGCCCTATAGGGCTGCTATGAATTGTAGTGAGTTTAGAGTTTGGGGCGTACAGCAGAACTCATAAATTAGGCTAGTATCTTTCATAGACTCCCTTCTTATTAATATTATTGTGGTGAAAATAAACATACCAAAGTATTTGCCAATGCAGTAGCTGCCACGTTTAAAATTTGATGACTTTAATTAGTTATCTCATTTGTACCACCATATTGCTATCCATTTCCAAAATGTTCTACCACCGCTAACATAAATTCAACACTCTCTGACTAAATACTGTCCCTTCCCACCCCCTCCCCCTGCCTCTTGTAGCTATTAGTAAAACTTGCTCACTATGTCTTTGCTATTGCTATTTCATATATATGAGATCTAAAAGTATTTCTCATTTTTCAACTGACTTATTTTACACAGCGTGTGCAGCAACTCAAATATCTTAATTTCCCTTTTTTTTTTTTTAAAAAAAAAGCATTTTATTTAAAGGTCTCTATTTCTCTTTGAAGTATTTCTCTTTCTCTTGATCATGTAGCTTAGGCTCATAAGGGCAGTTAAATGAGAAAAGGAGAAGGCAGTAAGATACCGAGGCATTATTGTAAATCTGACCCTGATTCTGCCAGTCTTCTTTTTTTTTTTTTGACAGTTCATCTGTAAGATGGGAGAAAATATTTGCTAGGGAAAGGTCATAACTTTTAAATTCTCCAAATCTTGTGAGAATTTATATGGTCAAGTAGAAGAGGTAGAATTTACCTAAAAGGATGTTATCTCACCATTTCTCAAACTAGAGTAAAATACAAATTCCCAAAACTTAGAAATAAAAGTAGCCCTTTGACCGTCAGAGCACATTTCTTATTCATTCTACAGTTATTTATTGGATATGATAATATGATCCAGATACCCCCAGTGCAAGGCACAGAGATGAGAAAGATAAGAGACCTGAACTACATGTAGCCAACTTTCCAGCTAGCAAACTCAAGACCAAATCATGGGAAAAAATCTCACTCCCTTCATGCCTCCCCAAACTTCCTTTGATTGTGCCAAATTTACTGTTATAGATATTGTCATTCTCTTTTCTAATTGAATACATCATCTAATAGAGTACTTAGAATTTAGGCTTTAATTGATCAAGACTTCTTTAGGTCCACTTTCCAATGCAAATAAATAGTGTTCTGCTCATATTTGTAGTGTACATAGCTACCACTGTGCATGATTTTAAGCCTACTAAATACATCTTTTGGAACAGATGCACATAACTGGCTAACAAGAGCCAAGACAAGTCAACCCCAGCACAACAAATTACACTCACTGTGAAGTACTTTGTGAAGTTATTATCAGTCTGAGCGTTTCAGCTGAGGCAGAGGGGAGGTGAGAGGTGACTGCGAGGGAATTTTGGCCATGTCACAGTCAACAAGAACCTCTTTTCTCTTGATGGAGCTCCTGTTATATTGCTCTTCTGTTGACTGAGTGCTCATTCCCTTTGAGGGCCATCTGTAAAGCTCTTACTTGCTCTTCAGATTGTTTAATTGTATCTGGTTAGCTTTCCTAAAATGTGACTCTGCTTCATAAACTCTGAGCAGATGAAAAGCGCATCTTGAAGCTCTGTCTCGTGTGTGGCACCTGAGGAACACTTTGCTCACAGTCCACTTATTTGTTTCGTAGGTGAAATTTTATGACAACTCTGTCATGGATTCAAATCCCACGGCAGGTTTATTGCCAGAACAGACCACCTGGCCTTAAGCACTGCATATGGTTTGCAGAGATTCTGCAGGGGAGGCAGATGAGGGACAGAGGAAGGGGAAAAACAGAAGTGGTTTCTAAGCCCAAAGACCAGAAACTGCTTTCAAACTGAAGTTCATGTTTTTTTGAGTTCCTTGTTGCTACACAACCCAGCTTCTGAATTTTCATAAACTGTTTTTTTTTTTGTCCCTCCCCTACCTAGAAGCCCTGCAGGAACCCTGAGCAGAAATCTGGCTTCTTGGGGCATAAGTGGTCCCAGTGAAAAGCAGTAAAACAAAGGGAAGATGTATTCTGTTCCCATTCTTCCTTTCAGCTTTCCCCGACCAGGCAGGGGCTGAAGGGGTAAATGAACTTGCCCGAAGTGACAGAACTAATAAATGGCAGAGCCGTACTGCGAAGCCCTGTTTCACGAGGTCCCCCTAATTGGCTGTCCTTATTCTCCTCTGCCTTTAGTTGGAGGAAGAAAATGCCTGGCAAAGTCACAAATGAATTACTTAGAGCTGGTGGTGATCGTGATGTTACCTGTACAGGAATGCTGGAAATAGGGATCCAGAGGTCATACAAGCAGCAAGGTTGGCTGCCAGCCAAAAGGTTGGAGGTTCAAGTCCACCCACAGGTGCCTCCAAAGAAAGGTGACCTACATCTGACAAACCAGCCATTGGTCGGCTTCTTATGGCATGGTTATCTATGAAAATAAATGCATTCAAGACAATACACAATGAGGGAAGGCACTACCTGTATTTCCTGGCCATCAGTTCTGACTCCTAGTGACCCTTTGGGACGGAGTAGGACTGCCCCCTTTGATTTTCAGAGACCATAAATCTAATGCAGCAGATGAGGGAAAACCTCTTCTCTCTTCCTGAGAACTAGGAATGATTTTGAACTGCTGAACTTAAGTTAGCAGATCAATGCATTAGCCTGCTAGGCAACCATGGATCCTGTAAGTCAAGGGGCTTCACAAAGTTCATGGGAAAATGGAATTAAAAGATGTTGGAATTTTTCCACAAATGTTTTGAAGCCCCCTTCTATAGTCAAAATAATTATAACTTATTTAAGCAAGAGCAATTATTTAACTTGACTTAAAAGACTGGGGGGGGG